ATGCTAGTTATGTGTTTCAGTCAGGATTAATTTAGATTTTTTTTTTTTATTCCTACATGTATCAGAATCATTCATCGAGGGGAAGTTCTTATATATCCATTCCCAGAATCCTCTTAAGACATCTGGTCTCATTAGAAGATCAAATAGATCCTCCAGATTCATTAGTTGTTCAACAAAGTGGGAATTAGTTTCTCACTGCTCTTGTGTCTGTGAGATATTTAAGACATAGATGAGAGAAAAATAACAAAGAAAACGTACAATATTCTTGACTCACAAAGACAGGTCTTTCACCAATGTGAGGAGGTCTTGAATTTGCTTTTAATTTCCAAAAACACAAGGAAAAAAAGTCCAAGAGTATTGGCCATTGTAAGATTTGAAGATTAGAAGGTGCGTGGGATTTACGATATTACCTCAGAAACACTTCTAATACATTTATAATTAGTGGCTCATCTATCACCTGATTGCAAACTTGTATTCTCTTTCTGTATCTTTTCACAAACATACATAAAAAGTAACCCATGCTGACTATGCGGGCATCAAGTAGAATTGTACTGAGCCATTTTAACTGCTGAGCACAACCCATGTTGTTGCTGAACCAGATTTCTCCCACAGAGTACACTATCTGTAGAGGGTAAGGTATTAAAGAATGCTCTGGACATGCTCTCGAGGCTCAGAAGTGCTAGCTGGTAGATCCACTCTACTGAATGATACCCCAGTGGCCTGAAAGAATTATTGTAGCTTTCTAAAGTGACTCATTCACTCCCAGGGGGTCGTCTGAGCTCAGAGAAAATCTGTCTCACTGATTATTAGTGATTTAGTAATTGGATGGTAGTGATGGACTTCTGATAACCTAGAGATTTGCTTTAGCTTCACTGGCAAAGACCTGTGTTTTCAGAGTCAAAGGTTACACTGCCTATTTGTGTGTGTTTCTTGGGGGTGGGGAGGGGGGCTGTACAAAGTACTGCTTTTCAGAACCTGAATCTGCCAGTCCCAATTCTGACATTTAGTAGCTGCATCATCTTGAGCCAAGTCACAATTCCACTCCTCCTTCAGTTTCTTCATAGGTAAAATCAAGAGGTGGGTCAAATGATCTCCACCATGTCTTCAAACTCGGGAAAAATCTGGTTTCTAGGCCTGGAATATCTTCCGATGCATATGTACGGTTTCGAAAGCTACTATTTCATAGTATTAATTTCATCGTTCTCATGCCAGTATTTTGAATTGGAATTAGAATTGGCCCTTACAGGTGTATAGAAAAACAGAACAGCTCACTTATGTGTCTGCATCCCTTCTTCCCTAATCATCTTCCAGCTCTGAAATTGCATGGTTTCTAGGTGTATACAATCTTTTTTTTTTCTTTTGCTGTTTATGTGCTATTACATGAACTGTGAGGTTGGGAGTTGTAATTTCCTCTTTCTCATTACAATATTTTGAATAGGAACCAGAATATCTTTTTTGAACCTTGTAGCCATGTAGAAAAACAAAACCACCCACCAAATTCCCTCTGACCCTTCTGTTACCTTAAATAGTAAACAAATGAAATCTGTATTCTCTCCTTTTATACATGGTAGAGAGTGTAACTTGTCCTGGAATAATGAGCAAGGGGTCATTTGCAAAACTGCCTTATTATCCTATTACTCTCCCGGAACAAATATGTGACTTTTCATCTTGGGGTCATAGAGGTATAAGCAATCTGCCTGTATATCACTTGATGGGTAATTTGTTGTGAAGTTACAAGAAAAAGACAAAGGTTTAAAGGGGAGCATTGATCTTCCCAAAGGACTATTTAAAAATCACAATTTTGCAGGAAGATAGGGTGAGGACTGGGCTGTAGGTTTCGGGGATGTGTTGGAAGCCATGCCAGAGGAAAGAGGCCTTTTCAGGACTTGCACTTAGCAATGCCAGGTAGGCAATGCCCAATGGATGGCCTACAAAACCTTCCCTAGAGCAATGTTTCTTGAACTGCAGGTCATGCCTCATTAGTGGGTCATGTAACCAATTCAGTGGGTGATGACTGGAAATTTTTAAAAACATGTAAATTAGACTAAAGCAGAATAGAGTAGAAAATATCAAGTGATTAGCATGGAGAAGGTCATGTAATGTCTAGTCAAACTCTGGTTCATTTTATATGTGTGTATGTACGTTTCTGTGTGTGTGTGTGTGTGTGTGTGTGTGTGGTAGAGAGGGAAAGATCTGTTTCGGTACACCAAGTTCCAATGTAAAATATATTCTTACTGCAGGTCATAGTTTAAAAACTTGAAAGGCATTGCCCTGGAAAAATACATGGCGATGCACATGTCTCAATGTTGGCGTCCAACAACTTGCTCTATTTTGTGACAAATTTATAAACGCAAGGAAAAGGAATTCTTTCAAATGTGAACAGTCACCTTCTAACTCTAAATTTAAACTGCCCCTAAATTATTCTAAATTCTACTTTTTCTTCTCTGAAAAATACTTATATTGAATCACTCTTTTCAATGCAAGCTCAAGGCAAAACAGGAAGTGGGTCAAGTTTGTCTTTCTTTCCTGGGGGCACTTCCTACCCCTTTTAAGCACCCCCACTAATGTCTGTACTTTCTTTCCCTTTCCTTTTTTCAAAGCATCTTCTCATGAAAGACTGATAAATGCATTAAATAACAATATAAATGACTGATAATGCTTTAATCTGCCCCATTCCCAAAGGATTTACATTTTAGCCAAATATGAAACCTCACACCCCATAAAAGAATCTTGTAGAATTTAGCTACAGGGGGGAGGAAAAGAGAGTTTTGGAAAGGAAGAGTGCTTTCCTAGCACTCTTAAAATCCTACCTGTGGCTGTCTATATTCTCTTCATAATGTTTCCTTTTTGACATGTAAATGATATGCATAATTTCTTCCCCTGTGTATTTGTGAAATACAACTTCAGCTGTCTTTTTTAAATAGATATTTATGAAACTGTCTTATCATAAATCTTTGAGAGGAAATATTTTTTGTCTAACTCAACTTTGCATTCATCTTACACCCAACTTACTGTCTGGCAAATTTAAGTCCTCAATTAGTAGTACTTATGACTGTTTATTATAGAATTGCACTACTCTATAACATATGTGGTGATATTGTTTCCCAATGTCAAACTAGGAAAAAGCACAACTGCTTATTTTTATGCTGAATATCAGATAGTATTATGTAAAATCTCCAGACACTTGTCATAAAACCACAATAATGATGATTTTAAAAGAACACTAATTTATTGAGTATGAAATGTATGCCAGGCTACCAGTCCTAGATATTTTGCCTACATGGTCTCATTTCTTCCTTGCAAAACCTCGTCAATGGTGAAAGTATTGTTATGCCCTCCATACCCCCTATACCATAAACACCACAGGTATAATTTTACAGATGGGAAAACTAAGCCTAGAAATTAACATCCTGCCTACGAAGACACAGTTATTCAGTTATTAAGTCATAGCAAACAAAGCTCTAACTCAAAGTGAGTCCATCTGCCCGCAAAGGTCATTCGTGCTTTCCTCACTTTTACATTTCTTAATGTTGTATCTAAAATTATCGTTTTCTTTTTCATTTCAGATACCTTACTGGCCGTCTGAAGGACAAAGCTGTGAGTGTAAGAACACCAGAAAGTTTTCTTTGTTTTTGTTTTTCATGAAAAACGCTTTGATTATCACAGAGTGGTTACATACCCAGAAAATATCTGGCCTGACCGTGCTAACTCAACTCATTCTGCTTGTCCTCTGCATTTGGTATCTATCTCCACTTTCAGCCCTCTTTAAATGGAGAGATAAAGTACAAGAGAGTAAAGAGCTGGATACGTCAACACTCTTAACCGCCTGGTGGTAGTATTCTATCAACTTCTTTGGCTCTGTTCAGATAACTTTTTTGTTTCCCTGTACAAATCGCAGTGCTTAGTAAAGACTGCTACGAAAAGCGCTGTCTCCCATTTGCACACAACTTTCATATTCCCTGGTCTATCTACACAGACAGTTTTCAACAACCACCCTTTATATTAAAAGTCGGCTTTGTATTGTCCTTCTCTCAAAGATTTTAAATCTCCTCCAAAAGTCCTAGGTGTTCAGAAGCCACAGATCTTTAGCAGCTATGTCTACCCATGACAGTAAAAGGAAGAAATTGATTTTGCAACAGATATACTGAGAAATCAAATCCAGGATTCACCTTTGCTCTTAAAACAGAGAATGAAACCACTGACTACCAAATGTGCTTTGGTAGCTACTCTTGGATTCCAAACTTCGATATCACTTTCCTATATTAATTCAGTCTTAAGTTTCAGGAAATAAAATAATTACGTAGTTAAACAGAGATCTTTACACAAACATGTACTGTGTTTACAATGTACCAATCCATTAAAATCAACGACAGACATAGATTATGAGAACTAAAACCCGAGCCAAGTAGACTAGCACTCACCATTTGCCCAATCCCCATCCAATGACAGTAAACATCCTATTGGAATCTGCTCTGAAAACAAAGCTTTACCAACCTAATGTCAAGGTAAACAGGTAGTAAATACCTATTTGACACTAGTAGCCAGTGGTATCATTTTCATTCTCTAGGGTCTAAACACAACTAAACGCTGGCATTTTTTCTTTTAAATTGGCACCATTATAATATAGCTTTTTACTTGGTAATTTTTTAAAAAGTTCACAAGGTGCTGGTTCACAGTGCCTTAAATTTTCTAGCCATAAACCATCTGAGTTAAAGGGAGTAAGTAAAGACATTCTACTATTCAGAAAAAAAAATTTTTTTTCCCCTATACTTTACATGAAATGCCATCCCCCCCTAAACTAAGAGCTACATAGAATAAAAGCCCCATCAAGTTAAGCTGTGACAGTCCTGAAGTCAAGGTCCTAAGATTCTTCTACTCTGTAAATCATACAAAGAAGAAAAGTAAGGAAAACATATTTTCAACACCAAGTATATATTAATTAGGAACAGTTAGGTCTCTCTTGAAAGGGGGATTGTAAGTTGTAATAGCCCATGACGTACCTTAAGTTCTCTGAAGAAGATACTACTCCTGGCCCACTCAACAATAGAGAAGAGGGTTTGATCAGCCATTTTGCACATAAGCCCAAACGTGCTCAGCTTTTCGTGCTTGCTTCGGTTAGCTTGTTCTTGCTGCAAATAGGCCATGATTTTAGCCTGGACTTGAGGCTCATCTGGCTCACACTTCAGAAGTTCCAGTATCAGATGTGGGATGCTTGCCGGGGAGCTCGTCTGGTAACTATCCATGTAGGAATAGCCCATTATTGACTCTGGTGAGCTGGTGTAGGGATCTGGGTACTCAGACTTGATGGCCCGGCTAGGAAAGTGACTGTATGTTTGGTAACCTTGCAGGCTGCCATGAGGTGGCATTGTCATGCTAATGGGGGATGTTACAAAGGGACTTCTGTCATAGTCTGTAGGAGGCAAGGCAGCGTGGTTCAGAGGTAGGCCTTTGGAGGCAGAATGGATGTTCTGAATGGCAGAAGAGATGGTGAGCTCAGAGGGCATTGCTTGGATCACCTGAGACATGGCTTCTAGCTTAAGTCCATTGGCTCGGATGAGGGCTTTTTTCTGTTGCTTTAGGGCCCTGTCTCTCTTGTACATTGGCCCAAATTTATTCCTTCCCCCGCGCATTCGGTCAGCCCTTACCGCTGTGGGGAAATAAAAAAAAAGGAGTAAGGGTATAAATAAGATGCAAACTATTAGCATTCTCTACATCTCCAGCTATGGAGAAATGTTGAAAATTGACCAGAAGTGTTAGGTGTGTGGTTGTTTTCATTACAATGGCCCATAAAGATTCCCCCCCACCACCCCACAAGCCATTTTTGAATTCTTTCCTCTTTAAGTGTTTGTCATCAAAAAAGTATTTTGGATGCATAGGGACATATTAACCCTTTGGTAGACAGTGAGGATTTCATAATTTTTGCTACACACGGGATACTACAGATTGCTAAGAAAGAGTATCAGTTTCTATTATGCCAGTTATGTCAGAATTCTCTTTACGGAAACCCAAACTACTAAGAGGAAAAAATAAAAAACCCATTTCTGGATTGAGTTGTGAATATTTTCCCTGAGAATATCTTCATTCCTCAAAGCCGTTTTGACTAATTTGCTGCAAAAGGGTTGGGCACATGCTCTTCCTGGAAAATCATTTTCACCTGGACTTGATGAGCACACATCAGATAACCACCGGTTATTGTTTTTAATTTAAGAAGAACTGGACATAATTAAAGCAAATTCATTTCAGAAGCTGTCAAGACAGTCTACCATCACAGTGCTGTGTGGACTCTGGGACCATGTCAAATAAGTGAGTTAGCAGTAGTCTCCAAGCCCACAGTGGCCAATGGCAATTAGACAGAAACCAGCGACCTCTGACAGCTTCTGACATGTTGAAATTGCTGGAGGTTAAGTTTTTGAGCTTTTGATCTTAGGATTAGTACAGCATTAAACATTTATTGTGAATGCTAGGTATCTAGAATATTGTGCAAGTTTTTCATCTGGATGATAATTTATTGAATATTCCACTTTTTCATATCACTGTTAAGGAAGTATGGTTATGCCCTACGAGTGACTTAGTAATACTTTTTAAGGTAAAGAAATGCAACCTTTTCTTTTCATTAAAAAAAAAGAGAGAGAAATCAAATGACATCATATGAAGCCACAACATTTACTTGTGTGTGTGTTTTGTTTTGTTAAGTAGGCTCCATGCCCAACGTGGGGTTTGAACTCATGACCCCCGAGATCAAGTGTCACATGCTCTACCGACTGAGGCAGCCAGGCGTCCCACAACATTTACTCTTTGACATTTTATATTTTGAGTCTCATACGACAGTATGCATCTCCCACAATATTTTGCTGTTTGGAAAATAATAAAGTGAGTGGTAATAAAGAAATTAGTGAGCATTTCTTTCTTGATCTTTCTCCATCTCTTCTTAATAGCAATACAGAGGGGCACCTGGGTGGCTCAGTCGGTTAAGCCTCTGCCTTCAGATTCCTGAGGTCCTGGAATTGAGCTCCAGGGCGCCTCTCTGCTCAGCAGGGAGTCTGCTTCTCCCTCTCCCCCTCCCCCCATTCATGCTTGCTCTCTCTCTGAAATAAATAAAATCTTAAAAAATAAATAAAATAAAAGCAATACAGAGTTAACAGTTCCAATGATAACCAAAGTGGCTACTTCTTTTTTTTTTTAAAAGATTTTATTTATTTATTTGAGAGAGAGAGAGAGAGAAACAGCATGAGAGGGGAGAGGGTCAGAGGGAGAAGCAGGCTCCCCGCCGAGCCGGGAGCCCGATGTGGGACTCGATCCCAGGACTCCGGGACCATGACCTGAGCCGAAGGCAGTCGCTTAACCAACTGAGCCACCCAGGCGCCCCCAAAGTGGCTACTTCTATTGGGAAAGAATCTATTAGCAATTTAGCAGATTTATTTGAAATCTTTTGAGTATTTCTATCAAGTCTGAGTGCCACATCACAGGAAAGCTCCACACACAACTAGCCTGTGCCTCATTGATCAACTAAAATGCACTCTTGTATCTGGCACATAACGGTGACATGTATCTCTTATTATTACTTTATTTGCACTGTAGTTAATCTGTGGAAAGTCAGTAGGCTGGAGGCTAAGAAACAGCAACACACCAAAATAGTCCATGAACTACAGACTACTTACTTACAGCGACCACATATTAACTTTCCTCCCTGCCAACCTGTACATTGTAAATACAGTTTACTCTCACAACGTAAAGTCTAACATGGCTTTTGGGGAACCACTACCTTATTCCTGTCAAACCAATGCTACCGATTTAATAGTTCATTATTTTTCATGTGTCCTACTTTTCAACTTCATTTCGCAGCCTTCATCATTATCTTAAAAAAAAGAAACGTGCTTTCCCACACTATCAAAATTGATAATCTACACGAGAAACCCCATTGCACAATTAAAGGCTTTAACTCTTGCTCAGGAGCCATGAAATTAATAGTAACAATTGTGACAAGTAAACAATTTAAAAGATTAAAATCAGACTTTTACTAGAGCATCCGATCTGAAAACTTAAAAGTATTTTTTTTTAATTTTTGCAAATGTTTAAAACCTCTTCTCAGTTGAATCACGTTAGTCTTGTTTTCATCTAACCTGGCCTTTTTAGCGTCAAATCCATCTGCTCGCCAAACTAAAAAAAAAAAAAAAAAAAAGTGGGGGGAGGGAAACTCTGATATTTAAATTTTTTCCTAGTAGATGTCCCCAGTGTTTAAATGATACTCAGACATCTCTGCTGACAAAACATATAAAAGATCTTACGTTATTGTCCACGGTGTTAAAAGACTAGGAAAATAATGTTATCATATTCTAAGTACAATGTTATTTTAAATCTTATGTCCTTGGAGAGTTTTAACAGGCAGTAGTCTTTGGAAGAAACTTACCTTCTAGCTTCATTCCAACACTTAGACATTTTTGAAATCGACAGTAAGGACAACGCTTTCTCTGTGTTTTATCAATTTGGCAGTTCTGGTTTTCTATACATGTGTACCTTTTATTATTTTGGACTGTTCGCTTAAAAAATCCCTACAAGACAGAGAAAATAGTGAGGCATATTAAAAATCTAACACCCATCTTTTCCATTGTTTCATTTTAAGGAAATCACCAATAAATCTTTTCATTGAACCAATGAGCCCTTCCGTGGTTCTGTGGTTTGTTTCACATTTTAACAAGATCGACCCTCCAAAACAGCACCGGGCCAAAGTGGAGATTTTTCTAGCATTTGAGTTCTATTCCTAAAATTATATCAAATCTCGGGGAGATTTGGATACACACCATTTCATCTCAACAGTCAGAGAAAAATACATTCTATATTGACTAGTATTAAAAAAAACACACACACATCTGTTTTCTTATTAATCTATTCCAGGTAAGGTACTCATGGAGATCTGCACTGTTTGTAAGCAGTCTGATAGAATTTTAGTGGCAAACTATTGTAAAATAACAGTGGAAAATTGAATAGCAAAACACCCCAGATATTTTTTTTTCTTTTTTTTACAAACGTCAGCACTTGATAGTTAAGAGCAAAAGGATTTATTTATTTATTTTTTTTTTTTTAAAGATTTTTTTTTTTTAATTTATTTGACAGAGAGAGAGAGAGCGAGAGCAGGAACACAAGCAGGGGGAGTGGGAGAGGGAGAAGCAGGCTTCCCGCAGAGCAGGGAGCCCGATGTGGGGCTCGATCCCAGGACTCCGGGATCATGACCCGAGCCGAAGGCAGACGCTTAACGACTGAGCCACCCAGGCGCCCCAAGAGCAAAAGGATTTAAAGAGTAAAATGGGTAAGTGTTCATAATTCCATTGGAATACATTCAAGTTGGGGAACTCTGTTAAAAAAAAACAAAGAAAGGTGAAACTAATGGAAAAGAAAATCATATGTAGCAGAGAGCTGAATTTTAGCACAGTGTTTTTCTTATATTGCACCCAAAAGAATTCATCAAAAACAAATTTTGTAGCTTCATAATACAATAATAGCTTTACCAGGATGGTATATTCTTTATGTTTATCCTACTAGCCATAAAGTGAAACAATCTTACTTTGTTATAGAGAATGAAAGGATTTTCCTGCCAGTGGTTTAAGTATTTGTAACTGAGCTTTCTCCTTTAAAAAATGTTGAAAAATAGCAAGTATCAAGTTGACTGGGAATATATTAAAAAGGTCTGAGATAAATTCTTGATGTATGGTTGAGATTATTAGGAACAATAAAGTACATTTTACATATTAAAACTTCTTGCATTTAAATAGGTCATATAATTTATTTATGAAAGCTACACTTAACTATAAACTGAGATGTGGTTTCTTATTCTTTATGATATAAATTTCAAAAAAATCTTAAGAATTGTTTTTGGAATAAATAAGGATAAAATCACACAGTTGAGAATTTAGACTTTTACCTGTGGATAAAAAATGTTTAGACTTGCAGCACAGAATAGTCTGAAGTTAAAATATATTTGGGAAATACTTTGTCATGTTTCCTCTCAAGAACAACGATGCTTTAAATATATATAAGTCAAGCAAAATCAATATTTAGGACTGTTAGAAATAGAAGTCTTTCTACAGTTACATCACTTTACTACAATAAAATATTTTAAAGCCATGAGACTGGCAAAGTTTTCTAAACAGCATAATTTTTTTTTTTTTGCCTTTGGAATTAAACACATATTTCAAAGAATCATCTCCCTAAGACTTTTCTCTCATTTTTAATTGAGTCCAAAAAAGACAGCCTAAATTTAGCTTTAGAAAGCAATCTAATGGTTTATTTTGGTTTTGAACCTTGTATTTGTCAGGTAGCAATGTGTAAGCAAACCTTGCAGCTTTCACAGGTGAGGAGCCCATAATGGTATCCAGACACTTTATCTCCACACACCGGGCAGAGCTCTTCAAGATCTTCATCATAGGAGTAATTCACCATTTTAAACTGAGACACTGAAACAAAAGAAATGTATATACGTAGCTAATTAATTCACACGGTAAGTTGTAATCCTGCAGTGAGAAGCATTTTGGTAATTGGTGGGCAAATATCACAGGTAAAATATAAAATAAAAATATTTTTTTATCCAGGTGTAGTGAAAAACTATTTTTATACAATGAAAGTAAAAGATCTTTTGGACTCAGCGAGCACGCACTTCCTATTTTTTAACTGAAAAAGAATTCCCACTTGTTTTGTTAAGAATTTTAAACTTACCACTGTTGAACACATAGCTCATAACTGCAAGGCAGCAAATCAGAATAGAAACACGAATTGCAGAAAATAACAATTTAGAACTTTAAACCTCCTAAAGATCCAAAAATGTCACCTTTGCCTAGGAGAGAGAAACAAGCACACACAGTCTCCCACTCTTGAACTAAGTTTGCTGCAAGTACACCTCGCTCAACAGGAGAGCAACTCCGACTTGCAAACACTTGACGGAGAGCCTGAAGCCCCAGAAACCTGCTTCTCAGCAGCAAGCCCCACTTGAACCACAGCCTGCTGCTCCCTACGTTCAAATCTGTTAGATTAATTGAAACATTCAGCTCCATATCGACAGGACTCCTGTTCTGGATACTTTCACCTCTTCACACTTGAAAATCTCCTGTAAAAATAGAGAAGGAAAAGAGAGAGGACGCCGGGCAGAAAGAGAGAAAAAGGAAAAGATACACACGAGGGTTTGGTTTCGTCGCAAAGTCCTGTGATAAACTTCACATGTTTCCGATAATCAGTGCAAAATATAAACACCTCCGGATCGCCCTGTTAAAGTTAAACAGAAATCAGGCCGCGGCTCCGCGAGGTTCACTGCGGGGATCGAGTAACCGCCTTCCGCCGGACGCAGCTCTGCGAAGGCCCCTTTGCAGCCAAAAGATGGATAAACTATGCACAGGAAGGACAGTGGCCGGGAGATAATACCTGACCTAATCCCTTCCCGAGACTCACCCAGGGTCAGGTGTCGGAGGGCGGACGCAACGGGTACCTGCGGTAAGGGGCAGGTCCGCGCAGCCCGGCACCCTAACCCTTCCGGGCACCTTCCTGTGAAACCCCGGGGTACACTCGCCTCTCGCCCCTTGCTCGGCTACATACAGGCGCACTAAAGCAGTCGAGTTTAAGTTAATCAGTGGCACTTGCAGGGGGCGGGGCGGGGGGGGCGGGGAACCGATGGCCGGACAGAAGTTTCCTCTGATTTGTTTACCAAAAAGGAAAGAGAGAAATAGCCCCCACTGCATCCCCGAAGTTCCCGGCCACTCCATCACCATAATGTGGCCTCTTCGACAATGACTCGTTCTTTTCCTTATTCTTTTTAAAATAAAGTTCTTTTTTTCTTTATGGATTCTGCAGGCCTCCGGAAAGGGCCGTGGGGAGGTGCGGTCACTTGCACCACTTCGAGGCTGAGGGCCGAGCACAGACCCGCTGAGTTTGAGCCATCTCTTCCCGAACCACAGAGCCCTGGTCTGGGGCTTAAACCCGAGTGAGTTAGCCAGAGTTTGGAGATAGGGGGTGGGGTCCCCGTGAAAGATGTTCCGGTAGAGGCAGGCGCTTGGGCTCCGTAAAACAAGTAAAGAGATACTGAGCGCAGTCCTCCCAGCGGTGCCAGCCCTAAGAGGTCCGCGCTCGGGTTTTGGGAAGCTGGGGGCTTGGGGGAACTGAGGGTTCGAGAAGTTCGTTTATAGCTCCATCTCTCCCCAAACTTAAACTATTGCTTTGTGGCGTGTTTTAGGGACGGGAAAAAACTGTACTTTATTGTTTTTATTCTCCCAAAAAAGTAAAGTCTAAACTTCGCACCTAAGGGGCACAGCGAGGCAAACGTTTGCAGGAGGATTCGGTGCCCACCTCGGGGATCCAACCCCAAAAGGACCGGAGTTGAGGGTGGGGACCCTCTTGGACAAAGAGTCCGTGTGGGGAGACAGTTGCCGCCGTGCAAGACTGAGGCATCTTTCAGTTTCCCAGGTGCTGTACCCAAGTAGGCATTTGGAGAACGGAATCCGTTAGGGCAAAGAAGTCCCTGTCTTAAGAAAGTGAAGAGGACGGTGGGGCCTTGTAAAGCTAGGACCGCAGAGAGGCACGCAGAGAAATTCCCCCTAAGTTGGACGCGCTATGCTGTCCCGCAACCCAATGGCGGGTCCCCTTTCTGATCGGATTAGGGCGACTAGGGCGCATCCCCGGCGGAGACCAGAGCAAGCATGGTAATGGGGTCCCATCCCCAGGGACTGCCCTCGAGGTGTAGGCCGCGTGGCCTAGGGAAAAGTCGTGCCGTGGCCCTTCCCACGCTGTTTTCGAACCCGGCGTGAGCGAGCGGCCGGCGACTTCTCCTGAGCCCTGGGCACAACGGAGGGCTAACTTCTGCTTTGGGGCAGTAGGTCGTGTCAAGAACTCCCCTCCCGAACTTTACAGGGAAAATATTACAGTGGCATTTCCCTCCCATTTCCCCCCACCCCCTGAACCGTTATTCTTGCCTCCCCTGCTTCTTGATCCAGCGTTTCTCTGAGCGTCTTTTCCCGAGTCTCAGAAACGCGCGCGCCGGAACGAGCAGCAGGAACTTTCCTTTTGCACCCAAGATCGCGCTGGCCTCACGGGCGCCCAAAGGGTTGTCCCTCTCCGCAGCTCAGGCGGAGGGTTCCCAGATCCGGCTCCCGGCGCCCGGGTCCCCCACGTCCCCACTTCGCGGGAATCCCAGGTGAGGGCGAGAATGCCTGTTTGGGCCAACCGGGTTCCTCCAGCAGCCAACCCTCAAGTTAGTCTCAGGGGCCGCAGCCCCCAGGGGACTTCCACAGCCCTTCCTGGAGGGTTGGAGAGACCCCAGGATCACGGTGGGGTAAGCGACCCAGAAGCGTAACGCACGTCTTGCCGCCACCCCCTGTTCCCCCAGCCCAGCCGGGCGACGTCAGGGTCCCCGGGGCAGAGCGCTGCAGGCGCGCCGCCTATCCCGTACCGCGGCGTGTACCAACCCCAAACTCTGGTCGGACTCTGCTCTCAACACCTTCCCGGCCCTTTCAAGTTCGCTCAAGGGGATGGCAGGAAGCGTTCCGGGATCACAGGCCCGCCTGCCCGCACATCCTGCGCGCTGGAAGGGGCGAGGATGGAAGAGCGCCGGGGACTTTTCCTAGCATTGTTCCCTCCCCAGCCCAGAGCAACTGCGATAAACTTCTGAAGGGCTCATACAGCCAGATCTAGAGTTGCTGTTTTGGAATGCGGCGAAAATATTGCCAGCAGAGTTTGCTTTTTTTTGTTGTCAGCAATCAAGAGCTGGGAAAACAAATAGGACTTCCATACTCCCAGTTCTCGAACTGAAGCAGAGGCATTAAGCTAAACCGCTGCCCCCCTCCCTCAACTAACTCGGCAAAACCCGCGCAGAAGATGGGGTTGGGGTAACTTTGGATCTCTTCAGTTCTGCCTGCAGTTCTGAAGTTGTCCAAATTATGCCGGCGCCCAGTTGTCCGCATGGGCGTTTGGGGGTGCCCACATGCATTCTAACGCCGCTAGGACAAGCTTTTCCGGGGTCATCTTCTCTTTCTGTAGTTGACTTTGCTAGGCGGGGTTTTTTCCCTCCACACAAGAGCACTGATTAAAGTTCTCACCGATTCAGTGACTGAGAACCTGCTCCGGTTTCCAGTGAGGCATTCCATTTCTTAGAATGATCTTATTATTCTGAAGTATCTGTAGCCTGAAGGCGCCCCCCCACCCCCGCCGCCTCGGGTTGCCATTGATCTCGAAGCCTCTCTTTTCTTAATTAGAAGCGGCCAATTAGGCATTGCTTGGAAAACCTCCGCCCCGCATTGTTCAAGAGCCATAAACTTTTATGCCTGTCCCTGGGGTGGGGGGCCTGCCGCCCGCGAGCTGCCCCACAGCCCGGCGGCCGCGAGAGCCCAGCCGGGTAGCTCCAGCGCCCGCGAGGGGTGGGCGGCTGAAGCCCGCAGAGCGAGCCCGGGGGTGGCGTGGCCGCGGGAGCCCGAGCGCCGCGCAGCGCCTCCTTACCTTGCATGTTTTCCGGCATCTGCCCCTGTTCCCCATGCGATCGAGCCAGTCCCAGGGCTTCCGTCTCCACTTTGGGCAGCATGACAAGGCGGCCGCGGGCGGGGATAGGGGGTCCGTGTCCGTCCGGAAGCCCAGCACCTGGACACGGGCAGCACAGATTCAACTCCGGCGGAAAAAAACGAAGGGCGACTGGGGTGCCGGCTCACCCACCCGCTCGCGGGAGCGTGCCTCCGCCTCCTCCCGGGGTCGCGGGTCAGGACCCCTGAGCCCCGTCCAGTCTCGCAACTCCGGAGCCGCCCCCAAGCCGCTGGGAGGAGATGGCGGGCTACGAGATGCGGTGAAGACTGCGTCCCGGCGCCTTGGTTTGGCTCGGCGAGGGCGGAGGCGGCGGCGGTGGCGAGGGCGCAGCTGCCCGGGGCGCGGATCCGAGTGCGGCCGAGCTCCGGGCGGGCAGCGGAGACGGCGGCGGAGCCGCTGGTGCTGCCGCCGCGGCGGTGCCGCTGCCGCTGCTCCCGGACGGCTCGGGCGACTTCTACCCCTCCCTCCACCCGCCCTCTGGCTCAGGATCGCCAGGGGTCTCTCTCTCTCTCTCTCGCCTCACTTCTCCTCTCCGCCCCTTCCCCCGTCTCTGCTTCCCTCTCGCTCACTATCACAAGTGTGAAGTTGTGAAGTTCCAGCCTCCCTCTCCTGCCTCGTTTACTCCTCCTGCGTGTCCGAGAGCAGTCCTTCCAGCCCCGAGGGTGACGGTGCTGGCAAGGAAAGGGGGAAGATGAGGAGGAGTGGGGAGGTAAGTAAGACGGGGCTAAGGGGAAGGCTGGGATGAGGGGTGATGACAGTGAATGGGGACGCGGGTTCCGGACTAGGTCGGACACCAGCCGCCAGCCAATGAGGATGAGGCGCATGCTCCAGTCCCCTCGCCTGCCCCAACCTCACCACCCCGCCTTAACCCCCTCCCACCCCACCCTGACCTGGGGCGGGGGATGTGAATGCTGCCGGGTCTTCCAGCTAGTGAGAGGCGACCTCTGTCTGAGCGCAGCGGCGGAGGACGGGAGGCTAGGGCGGCGATCTATTTCTGCGAGCTGGGGGGAAGCCAGAAGGGACGCGGGAGTGTGTGGGTGTGCGTGCGTGTCTCCGCGCGCGTGTCGGGTCAGGGGCTGGAGGGGGGAGTTAAACACCCATTTGAACAACCTAAAGGAGAAAAGAGATGTTGAATTCAGTGGACCGCTCTTCTCCAAAGAGCTGGCCTGCTCTCCAGGGTCTCCCGGCTTCATTAACCCCTCAGCATTCAGTCCGAAAAGGCCCCACCGTGGGCCCCGGGAGTCCTGGAGTGGCCGAGCGTCCCGGCCCACCGAGGAGACAGCCATATGGCCGCACGTTCACTCACTTGCCGGAAATCTGAGAAACAGCTATCCCGGTTTCCCCACTCTACCAGTTCCTTCACTGGTAGACTGGTAAACACCCCACCCCCTCCAGCCCAAGATTATATTGGCGGCAGACTTCCTAAATTTTAGTGAACTGCGTGTCCAAGTAGAATGCAAAGACCGAACTAGGCTTTCCTTTTTCATTCTGGTGTCTCTGGTGGGACCATCCACATGAGGCCCAGAGACCCAGCACTTTTAATAAAGTTTTAAAGAACCATCTGTTACGTAAGCTCTTCAGCCACCAGCCCAGCCACATCTTCAAAAAGTTTTCAGATCTCATCCCAACAAGATGAAAAACATTTTTTTCCAGCCTCATGACTGCATATGAAATGCCTCATATTCAGTGTCTGCTGCAAGACCGGGTAATTATCAGAGTCCACCCACAAGGGGGTGAATTTGAATCTCAAAAGATCTGAATTTATTCTATTTGAATGGCATGGAGATCACACATTCAAACTGTCCAGTCCAGTATTTGATGAATTGGAAAACACTCCAATCATCGCCATGATTAATCTACACTTTTGCATGAAACGGGTTGTTTATCACCTACCGGTGTCTGGCAATTCAGAGGCTGTTGGCTCTCTAAATTGTTCTTTTTGTAATTTTGTTCTTTAATATATATTCAGAATCTAAGTTATTTAAATCTCAGTTTTGTAGCATCATCAAATTTCATAATAATATTTAAACTTGGGGGGAGGGAGACTGTCCATTAGTTTGGAAAGTGCAGTGGGCTGTGGTTGCCAAAATTAGGGACCCTTAAGATGCTCAGATTTCTGTGATAGTATCAAGTAACACTGTCAATCCATTTTCAATATTACTAGTTGTTTTAAATACCATTGTGAATTAAGTGCATATATATATATATATATATATACATACACACACATATATTACATAGTTCAGAAAAGGAAAGGAATTACAACTCAGGGCTCAAATCAGTTCTTGCAGTGCTGCGTGGATTCGGATGAACTTTGAAAACCAGTTTATTACAAAGTCTTAATTTAGGAGTGTCCTACTACAATCAAAGAGCTTATGGGGGCACTCATGTAGCACCTTCAGAAACACCAGGCTGGCAGCTATGGAGAACTCCAGACTCTGGGTCCTCAGAGGGAGCTTCCAGCTCAGAGCCAGAGGGAAGGTCTTCTGGTTGGTAGAGCTGAAGGAAGAGGTCAGGAGAGTTGAAGTCTGACAGACCATATATTTGTGGTCTGCATGGTGAAATCCTTGCCTGGACTTGAAGCAGAGCCTGACCTAGCCCAGGCAAACTTTGTGATCACATTCATAACCCAGCTTCAGCTCCAGAAGGGGCTTGTTTAGACCATAGCGTCTCTTGAGTCCAAGCCAGTCTGCCTTCACCTCACACACCCAAAACCAGTAGTCATAGTGACAGAGGGCCAGCTGACATTCATTTATCTCCTCCCCAAACCAGAGGAGGTGGTGAGGGGGAAAATAGGGGCTGGAGACACCGTTTCAAAAAGCCACCCTTAAAAAAAAGAAAAATGTCCAAGATTGCCTTGCTTTGAGGCTCTTGTCCAGGCTGACCGCAGCAAACGGAAGGGACACCGCAAACACAGGAGGTCTCAAGCAGAGAGAAAACCTCGGTGCTCCAGGCCTCCCACTCCAGGGAGAGAAGAGGCTGGCTCAACCCTATCCCAGATACCCTCGGCGTGGTGGAAACACCCCCCCGCCCCCCGCCTGCGGTGCCCAAGGTGGGAAATCTTCCACTGCAATTGTTTCTAGTCAGAGAACAGAGGGCCCTTTTTCACAGTTTTTCTCCTCAAGGAGTTTAGGGGAGCGACGGAGTCCCCAGGCCTGGGGCAGACACAGAGGGAGGGGCGGCGGCACCAAGGCTTCCGACACTACACTCATTCCGTCCTCCAAGTGCATCCATTCCCCACCTTCTGAGTTGCCGCTGTCCGAATGTTCTGGTTCCTTGAGCCTTCAATTCGGCTGGGCCAGGGCCCGCATTGAAGCCACGGACCGCTTGCCCTGTGACCGGGGATCGTCTTGGGCGTCTCCCAGAACACCCCTTCTGAAGGAGAGCTGGGGGAGGAGGGGCCTGAGCCGCCCACTGTGCCTCGAGTCGGTTACCTGAGGATGGTTCTAGGTTTCAGAGGCAGCCGTGAGGAAGGAGAGCTAAGTGGACGCGGCAAGGGGGAGGCATTTGAGATGGGAGTAGGGGAACAGGGCCTGTGTGGTCTAAACATTGATGCCGGTAGTTGGACTGGCCGACAGACACACCGATCGGCTTGGAATAATAAAGCCCCCATAGAAAGGCAGACGCATCCCATCCTCCGCCAGGGACATCTTTACCTACTGCCACTCTGCCTCTTAATGGATGCACACTTAGGAATCCACTCCGTCTGCGGGAAACTTAACTGGTGGCAGAGACCACAGACCAGAAGTCGGGAGGCAGGGGGAGGCTGTTCCAGCTTTAGCTACCGTATGCATTCTCAATTTCTTCCCTGCATTCTTCTGCCAACTTCTGGCAAACTTCTCTCCCCTTTCCCCTCTCTTCCCCCACGCCTCCACCTTCTTTCCGACGAGACTGGTCTCCAGGGCTCGTCCTTCCCGGTTCTGACTTTGTCTTAAAGCATTGATTGACGGTTGCAATTATAAAGGATGATGGCTCGGGGAGGCTCCCGCAGCCTTGATGAGCCCGAGGAGCGCAGTCCTGGCATATTTTATCCAGGCTCAGCGTTACGGGGCCGTGCGCCCCATTCACCCGGCGGGCTGCAGCTGAGGAGGTCTCGCACTCCCCACCCGCGAGGATGTAACCGCCTCGCTCTCCTCCCCCGCCTCCACTTCTCCGCTGTTCCGCGCCGCATTTCAGACAGCGCGCCGGGAACAGCCCGCCCTTGACCTGACCTGAGAATTGTTGGCCAGCCCCGCGCGCTTAACGCATGCAGGCTGCAAAGGGAGTGAAAAATGTCAAGATTTTTAGGACTGGTTCAAGTTTCCTGGGCTCGGAAAACACAGGTCCCCAAGTATAAGACCCACCCCTCCCGCGCGCCTGGGTGGGAGAAGCCTTGCATGACCCACACAACCTCACACGAAACTTGCAAATCAACATTCTTGGAAACAATTTCTAACGTCTACTCCATTTCTACTTTTTGGTAGTTTTTTTTAAGAAACCAGAATCATTACTTTTCTCGTAGCACGTGTCTAGCTTCCAGCCTCAGAAGAAACCTAGGTTTTTTTCGAAAAGTCTCCACCAAGTGGCCGGGATAGCCCGAGGGGAAAGAGAAGCAAGTTTACCAGCCTACAGAAAACTCAAGCTCTGCCTAATTTTTCAGCCCCTCCCACTCAAAAAGCCCATCAGAAGGCCCTTTTGCCTTTCTCTGAAGATTAAGTTTAGCAAGAATTCCAGAGTTCCGCTCCCGAGCTCAGGGGGCTGGGCTATCCGCCCCCGCTTCCAGGCTCCCCCAGCCGGCGTCCAGAGCACTTTGTTCTAAGATGAGAGGGGTTAAATTTCAGGACAGACATACAAATTACCAAGGAGCACCGTATTGGCCGAAGCTTTGAAAAAATAAACTTGAATAGGTGAGAAGTCGTGCCTCGTTAAAAAAAAAAAAAAAAGATCCCTTTCTGGTACATGTGTAAAGAACTACTTAAGACATCATCTGCCACAGCGAGTAGAGCAGGAGGAAAAACTGCTATCAATTTAGACACTCTACCCCTGGAAAGACTTGTGTGTCAGGGGTAGCCGCAAATGGG